AGAATTCTTCATGTAAAATACAGTAAAACATTTTTAAAAGACCACCCTCATAAAGACCACTTTTATTAGTTTTGTTTGTTGGTATACGACAAAACGCCACGTGGGTGAGGGGTTTGCCTCCCGGGAATAATTTATAAGGAAAACTGTCCCCTAATTAGGTATTGGCAGCACCAAATTCGACAGAGGGCGCTGTTTTTGAGCCAAGATGGCTGCCGAAATAGGTAAGGAAGCGAACATGCGTTTGTTCAGTACCTGAGCCGATTCAGTTTCCGTCCGTGACGACTACTGCGAAGACCAAATGGAGAAGAAATCATTGAATTTATGTCAAATTCTAGACTATATCGGCGACAGGAAACGTTGTCTTGTATAAGGTGAAGCCGTTTTGGATGCTGACACATCGTATTTTGTGGATTAAACTCTAACAACAACATTGAAGTTCATGTTGTTGCTTTAGTGTTGCAATCTCAGATATTGTCATTTTAATACATCTCAATTACAGGGAGAATACACGTGCAAAGCGGGGCTGTCTGGTTTTTGTAAACATGTGATACAGTAACATGTTTATTACACGTTAACAGATGAGAAGTATTTAAATATTTTAAGCAGTATACACCATGTTCTAATATAAAAACATAGTTTTATTTATCATAAAATTAGTGCCAATCTGAAGGCTGCCCTGCTGAGTCATTCAGCACTTATACAACATGAACTTCAATGTTGTTAGAGTTTAATCCACAAAATACGATGTTTCAGCATCCAAAACGGCTTCACCTTCTACAAGACGACGTTTCCTGTCGCCGATATAGTCTAGAATTTGACATAAATTCAATGATTTGTTCTCCATTTGGTCCTCGCAGTAGTCGTCACCGACGGAAACTGAATCGGCTCAGGCACTGAACAAACACATGGTCGGTTCCTTACCTGTTTCGGCAGCCATCTTGGCTCAAAAACAGCGTTCTCTGTCGGATTTGGCACTTGCCAAACGTGAAGAAAATTCCACGTGGCGAGAGACCCTTTGGCGAGACGCGAAACCACCGACCAGTGGTCGGTGGCCCATCTATGGCCAAATCTTGTCTCTAAGTAGCGATTTTACTGTATATTATTGGATCATTTATAAAACAGTTAATGAGAAATTTGATAATATTTTATTAAATTAAAAGAAATAAAGGTTAGAATAATTTATATTTTTATTATTAAAGTATTTTCTGAATAAAATCATAAATAAGATTTTAATATTTATTTACAATTATCATTATTTGACAGATAGCCATGACTCGAGTTGGAAACCATACAAATAGCCCAGACCCACAATCAGTTAATTCGCGTCTTTTCGTAGGTAATCTCAATACTTATTCAGTAACAAAAGAAGAACTGGGCAGAGTATTTCAGAGATATGGTTCTGTTATCGGAATTTCTATGCACAAAGGCTATGCTTTCGTGCAATTCACAGATACCTGGGATGCAAGAAATGCTATTATGGGAGAAGATGGAAGAACTTTAGCTGGACAAGTTTTAGGTAAAGTTTGCTTATACGGTGAAGTATCGAAAATATTAAAAAATCTTTTTCGTCTTAACTTTGTTTCCGAATGATGTTTTTAACATTCATTCGGAATTTTTTCATTTTGAAATTTTGATTAGTGTATTTTTTTTATTATAAATATTGTGATTCTATAAATTATATTTTCAATACAGTAGAACCTCGATTATCCGCCCCCCGATCAACCGACCCCTCGGTTAACCGACCGTCCTAGTCGGCAAATTTCAAATGTCCGCTAGTGATGTGGCGCTACAATATTTGGCTATGTCTTGGCTACTTTAATATTATTTTTACGTGTTTTAGCTGGCAACACTCATTCGACCATGAAAGGGAGCCAGTATTTAAACGAAGCTTAATTTTCTAATTTTTAACGATACAATAGCGACGATTATTATTTTAAAAAATTTTTGTTAGGCTTAACATCGATGAAAATTCAACGCAAAGTAGGTTAATAGCGATATACTAATATACTAATTACATGGGATATAATAATATACTACACTAATAATGGATTTTTTCATACTTTTCGGTTATCCGACTTTTCAATTATCCGACCAACCCCAGTCCCCAATTAGGGCGGATAATCGAGGTTCTACTGTAGTTTGTATTTCTACATTCCTTATGATGGTTTGAACTTAGAACACGTAAACTCCAAATACTATTCTTCAAGTTTATAATATATAAAATGTGAATTTACACCCGTGTATATTTGAAAACCTAGACAAATTGAAAAACCGTATAAGAATTTCGACGCTTCACTGTATTTATTTACTTTTTGTGAATATTTATCATAATAATGAATCGTTTTTATAATAATTTTCCTTATTCTCTTTCGCGTTTGATAAAGTAGCTATGACGCTCAATTATGAATAACGTAATAAATTATTAATTTATTAAGTACTGTACTTCACTAGTTATTTTAATAATAGATTTAATGAGAAAACTTAAATATAAGTAATCTTATTTTAAGATTTTTATTAAATTAATAAAAATTATCTTTTCAAATATATAAACTATGTAAATTATGTATTTAAATTTTATTTTCTTGTTATATCCTAATTTTGACTACATTAGTTAATTAGAAAATATTCTCAATTTTAAAACTTTATTTTATAATATTAAAATTGTTGAATTCTATTTGATATTAAATATTTAGTTAGGCATTATTTAATGTCTGTGATGAAAATTAACATATAATCAATCAATCAATATTCAATATACAATCAATATTAAAATCAACATACAATAGAAATGATCAATAGAAAGGAATAAGATACATTAATCCTATAACTACACAGATAATTAATTTTGGCATGGTACAACTGAGATCAATGTTAGCTGTTCTATTAAGTAAAATTAACAGATTTATAACAACCGGTTGGATTTCTCTTGTTACATAGTTATTGTAATTTTTAGTGTAGTTCCAATATTTATTTCATTTAGAAAATGGCAATTGTGTATAATTATTATAGAATTCGAGTGTGTATAGGGGTTTATGCATATAAATTCTATAATAACCAGTGCTAATTAAGACACTATGTAGATAAAGTGACAAAGCATTACAATATAAGATGACAAATTTTAATATCATAACCATTATTTATGTATTGCATTGTATAATATATGCCTGTAAATATATATTTTAAGTTCCTGTTATATAACTTAATACAAGATCGTTAAAATCTATGCGATGCTATTCTGGTCGATAGTATGATGTCTAATTAGGTCGTCTAATTACTATAGGATTTATGTACTCAGAAACGGAATTTTAAAAATTAATTAGAAGTTGAATTAGTAGCATCACGTAAACCTTTTTAAGGAGTACAGATATTCTTTTTTTCTTGCAATTATATCGCTATCATTATAGTATAATATTAAACCTAATTTTTATATTACTAATTAAAGGTTAAAGCCACAAAAAATGGAGACTTCTCTTAATTTTGATTACAAAATTTATTCATGAGCGAAATAATTTTTCTTTAGTGGCAATTTGGACAATATTTTATTATTAACATACACTATTTTAGATAGAATATTATTATTCGATTATTTAAAATGCCAAACTTTTCTTATGATTTATGAACTAGTTAAGTAACTTGTTATTGGAAATGTAATTAATAATTAATACTTATTCTATATTCATCTTAATTATCAACATTAATCTGTATATGATAATTAGAATTCAAATACTAATGAGGTAGTTTCAAATAATGATATAGTACTTATTGAATAGTTAATGTGAAACTATCTTATTGATTTCATAATTAAGTATTTTTATAATTTTTTTCAGATGTCAACATGGTATCAGAACCCAAACCGCATCAGATTACAAGAAAGCGACAGGGATCTGCCTCAAGCACGTGAGTAGATACATTTTAACAATGATTAAATATACCGTATGTATTTTAATCTTGTCTAGTCAAAATACTGTATGATTAGCCTATTTAATGAAATTTTTGCAGTTTATTAAAAAAAATCTCGTTATTTTTTCATACTTTTGACAAACTGACAATTTGATGAAATTTTATGCATTAAAACTTGGCATTGAGAGAGCTTTAGAAAAAAAAGGAGAATTTTTTTATTTTATGTAATATACATTTTTAAATTGCGATATATTATTATTCAATGAATAGATAGTAAAATTTAATTCAGTTAATGTAAAAAAATAATAATAAATAAGACGTTAGGATAGGATTAATGGAATAATCAACGTAAACACGGGCGATCTGCCAAGAGACGTCTCCCGGGAAGACTTTTTATGGGAAACGAGTCTCTTTTTAGGTGTTAAATACGTAATGAAAACCCGGAAGGCTCCACGTGGCGCAAACCCATGCGTGTTCAGTGGTTTTATCCACTCTGTCATTGGTAAGCCGAAGATGTTGAGAAGAAATTTAAACTTAAAAAGACTCGACGTTCTATTAATGAAAGTCGTGGAAAGTGGGGAAACATTTATTGAAAACGAAAAATGTATTAATTTCTAAAATATTAAATGCAGAGACTTATTATATATATATATATTTTTTTTCCATAAATAGAATTAAACCTGTTGATCTGCGAATACAGTAATTGAAGACCTCGAGGCAAGAACGTATTAATTCAGTCTCTTTTGTTGAAAATTGTCGAATTTCTACACCATAGAATATCTATGGTGTAGAAATTCGACAATTTTCAACAAAATACAGGGCAAATTCGGAATTTTAGGGTGTTTTTTTCCCATAGAAATTTTAAAAAACGAGTTGTTCTTGCCTCAAGCACTTCAATTATTATATTGAGTAGTATCTGATAAAATAAAATNATAGGAGCCATCCCGTTTTTCTCGTCTTCTTTTTTTTAGGGACAGATGTCACACTCTTATAAAGAAAAGCAATTCCGGAAGCTAATCGAACAGAAAATTCCAATATCAGATCTTCAAGTCAAGCTGCTGCTGACTTTCTCGGATATGATATTAAAAATTTCAAGCTTCTCGGTTCTGAAATCGACTTCATGCAATACTTCACATTTTATAATCTTCGCGTTTTTATCTCACAAATTTTGATCATTTAAATTGACTTATCAATTATTTTTTAATATATTTTTACTTAAAAAATTGTCACGAACAAGATTTAAGAACTGATTATTATTTTATTATTTTTCTATGGATTGAAACCTAAATAATTTTATTTATTATAACATAATATTTAAATCTATTACTTATAGGATATGTTGCGTATATTACTTTATATAAATTCATTAATTTTAAGACGTTAACACATTAAGAATTGAACATTATGACAATACAATTTTTAATTACTCAATACGTTTCAATATTTTATGCTAACACAATTAAATCAGTAATGATTACAGTATAATTATTTGATAATTTAATGCTTATTTAACATATAAATATATTTATGAATAGGGTTATATAATTATTTAATTGTTAGGATTAATTAAATGGTAGTGCAACAATGCTATTTACAGAGATTTTGGATTGACCTTCAACACAGCACAGCACATCTCTGTTTTTATGTTAATAATTTGGAAATTTTTGAGATGATAAATGTAAGACCGAAGAGACTGTATGATACATAATAATATGTAAACAATATTTTATTTCTTTTTTTTTTTCCTTTCTTTAAATTATTATCTGCCTTCGTGAAAACGGGTTGAGGAAAAACAAATGTTATTGTTTGAAATACATTCCCTAGAATTATCCTGATCTGAATGAAGTTAAAGGTAATCCAAATTACAGTATTTAAAGGTAATAATTGTGGATTACAACTGAATTAATTATTGTCAAGTGTTGGCTTGTTTTTTTTCCGTTTAATATATATCTTAACGTTTTTTCCCTTTCTATTAACTTATATAACATATTCAGTACTTTAAATATTATATATTTAAATTAGACAGCAGTATACGAAAGAAAAAGATAAAATATTTCAGGTAAAATGAAACGAAAAATGCAAAGACATTTCCTAAAACATTATTTATTTATTTTTCATTTTTTTTAAATTATTATTTCTATTGTTCGAAATTTAAACTACAATTCAATAATAAATTGAAGACAAGAATGGATGAAGGTGTTATGTTACAATATCAAAGTTTTGAGTGAATTGATGTTAAGTTTTTGTTATGTAATTATTTAGGTGTAAATGTAACCACGAAATAGCGTCACACAGAGAATATCACACTGCTGTTTAATTTCTGAGATCTTTGATGGTGATATGTGAGAGACGGATACGTTACACCTTCATCCATGCAAGACAATTGGATTTCGAATGATTGTAACATAACACTTATGTCTTCAATTGTAATCCATAATTATTACATTTAAATAAACTTTAAACAATTTACTAATGAATTACTTAATATTGGCAATGGACCTTATAATTGATTTTAATTTATTTTCAAATATTTTCTTATATCATATCAATGAATTTCGTTGATTATTATATAAAATATAATAAAAATGTAGTCTATTATATTAAAAATGAGTCTGACAATATTCCGGCTTTTTGTAATATGTCTAGGAAATATTCAATTGAATCGTTTAATATGCCTACGACGTAGAAAACGTCCAAAAATTACGTAACACTATTTTTATCCTTTTAACTACCGTCCCAATCTCCGTAACAGTGGCATAATAAGGTTCCCGTGCCCCTCCCTCATTCTTTTATAATGTTTAAATGGCATTATAAAGAGCAAATTTTTTTTTATTATAAAATTTATAATAAAACACCGGCTTAAATTTTTGCCCTCTAGTTGAAATTTCTAGTTGTACTTCCATAGCACTGCCGTCACATATCCACCCTCAGAATTATGTAACGTATATCCTCGATCAACTTCCTTGATTGTGTTAAGGAATAATACACAGCATGGAGTACCGAATGTTACATTATTTTATTAATTAAATATACAGTATAACGTACAAAGCATTGACATAAACATTACGGTTCACTATGCAGCATTACAGAGACAAAAATAAATCATTCTATTATCCAAGAGTCGAGACCAAAGCATTACATAACTAATTTATAGTGAATAAGTAAATGCTGTAATAATAATTGTGTACTTTATAATATATAATTTTATATTAATTAATATCACGAATGCACTTATGATAGTAAAGTTAATAATAAAAATAGTTTATACATATTATAAAATAAACATTTAAATCTTTCTTTCCTAGATTTTATATATCTCAAAACTGCAAAATAAAACTTTCAACGTCATAAATGTTGAAATGGTCTGAATAAATTTAAATTTCTAAACGTAATTTAAATACAAAATTTAATGCAAATATAATACTGTGTATATATATAAAAAGAAATTGAATAATAAATTTTACGTAAAATTTATTATTTTTACTTTTTTTATGTTAATTATAATTTAAAATTATTGTAGCCTAATTATTTAAATTTAACGAATAAATATAATATAGTTTAAAACCATTTAGTGTAAAAATTAACATGAAATAAAAATTATTTGAGTATGTATTTAAATAATTTTTATATTCTAAGTTTGAATTAATATATTTAAATGATATAATTAATATCAAAATGTAAAATACAGTAAAACATTTTTAAAAGACCACCCTCATAAAGACCACTTTTATTAGTTTTGTTTGTTGGTATACGACAAAACGCCACGTGGGTGAGGGGTTTGCCTCCCGGGAATAATTTATAAGGAAAACTGTCCCCTAATTAGGTATTGGCAGCACCAAATTCGACAGAGGGCGCTGTTTTTGAGCCAAGATGGCTGCCGAAATAGGTAAGGAAGCGAACATGCGTTTGTTCAGTACCTGAGCCGATTCAGTTTCCGTCCGTGACGACTACTGCGAAGACCAAATGGAGAAGAAATCATTGAATTTATGTCAAATTCTAGACTATATCGGCGACAGGAAACGTTGTCTTGTATAAGGTGAAGCCGTTTTGGATGCTGACACATCGTATTTTGTGGATTAAACTCTAACAACAACATTGAAGTTCATGTTGTTGCTTTAGTGTTGCAATCTCAGATATTGTCATTTTAATACATCTCAATTACAGGGAGAATACACGTGCTAAGCGGGGCTGTCTGGTTTTTGTAAACATGTGATACAGTAACATGTTTATTACACGTTAACAGATGAGAAGTATTTAAATATTTTAAGCAGTATACACCATGTTCTAATATAAAAACATAGTTTTATTTATCATAAAATTAGTGCCAATCTGAAGGCTGCCCTGCTGAGTCATTCAGCACTTATACAACATGAACTTCAATGTTGTTAGAGTTTAATCCACAAAATACGATGTTTCAGCATCCAAAACGGCTTCACCTTCTACAAGACGACGTTTCCTGTCGCCGATATAGTCTAGAATTTGACATAAATTCAATGATTTGTTCTCCATTTGGTCCTCGCAGTAGTCGTCACCGATAGAAACTGAATCGGCTCAGGCACTGAACAAACACATGGTCGGTTCCTTACCTGTTTCGGCAGCCATCTTGGCTCAAAAACAGCGTTCTCTGTCGGATTTGGCACTTGCCAAACGTGAAGAAAATTCCACGTGGCGAGAGACCCTTTGGCGAGACGCGAAACCACCGACCAGTGGTCGGTGGCCCATCTATGGCCAAATCTTTTCTCTAAGTAGCGATTTTACTGTATATTATTGGATCATTTATAAAACAGTTAATGAGAAATTTGATAATATTTTATTAAATTAAAAGAAATAAAGGTTAGAATAATTTATATTTTTATTATTAAAGTATTTTCTGAATAAAATCATAAATAAGATTTTAATATTTATTTACAATTATCATTATTTGACAGATAGCCATGACTCGAGTTGGAAACCATACAAATAGCCCAGACCCACAATCAGTTAATTCGCGTCTTTTCGTAGGTAATCTCAATACTTATTCAGTAACAAAAGAAGAACTGGGCAGAGTATTTCAGAGATATGGTTCTGTTATCGGAATTTCTATGCACAAAGGCTATGCTTTCGTGCAATTCACAGATACCTGGGATGCAAGAAATGCTATTATGGGAGAAGATGGAAGAACTTTAGCTGGACAAGTTTTAGGTAAAGTTTGCTTATACGGTGAAGTATCGAAAATATTAAAAAATCTTTTTCGTCTTAACTTTGTTTCCGAATGATGTTTTTAACATTCATTCGGAATTTTTTCATTTTGAAATTTTGATTAGTGTATTTTTTTATTATAAATATTGTGATTCTATAAATTATATTTTCAATACAGTAGAACCTCGATTATCCGCCCCCCGATCAACCGACCCCTCGGTTAACCGACCGTCCTAGTCGGCAAATTTCAAATGTCCGCTAGTGATGTGGCGCTACAATATTTGGCTATGTCTTGGCTACTTTAATATTATTTTTACGTGTTTTAGCTGGCAACACTCATTCGACCATGAAAGGGAGCCAGT